TCATGAAAAATGACTTTTTTTCATTTTTAATCATATATAAATGTTTTTGAATCAAGTGTCAATTTTAATATTTTATTTAGTATCATATGTACGAGTATCAAATTTTAATCTTAAAATAATATTCAAGAAAATATTTTCTTTTGTTCCTAAAATTTAAAAATATTAAATATATATATGCAAAATATGCATATGCAAAGTTTTACAAGTCATGCATATATGCAATACGTACAAAATGCATTTTAGTGTCTTTATTATGAATATTTTAGAATGCACGCTTTATTTTGTTTATTCATTCCACATGATTTTTGTTTTCCTGCTATACACCAATATGCTATAAGACATGTGCTAGTTGCATGGTGGGACAAACGGTATCCCACCTTTCCCTGTAAAAAATAAAAGCACAGAATTTTTTCAAGGCTTAAAGGCACTTAAGTAAGTCCATCTGACTTATTCTAAGACATTTTTTTAAAGGTTAAAATACATATTAAATATGCGTGTCGCAAAGGGTTAATAATTAAGAACATAACGTGAACAGCCATGTTACAAATTAGCATTCACCCCTCCCGCCATAATTTCTTCCTTTGATCCCGAAACTGACGAGCCTTGAGAACCAGACATATCTTTCGACGAAAACTTCTTTAATTATGCGAAAATATTTCTATCTATTCATTGTTCAAAAAAATTCAGAAAAAATAATAATAAATAAGAGAGAAAATAATATAAATCTTCAAATGCGAACACCGACAACCTTCGCATAAGCGAATAGGATGAATTAGTTAGGTTACCAGGTTTGAACTATTATCGCCAAAGTTGGCGATGTTTACATTTACCGGGTTCTCTGCGGAAGTGCTTCCACATTGTATACTAACGATTATGCATTAATTCTTGAAATATAAAATTTAAGTATGCAATAATAGAATGATTTGGGGATTTCCTAAAATCAAATTCTAAACTTGGGTCTTGTTAGCTTAGACAATATTTATAGGCTGAGTGTGAAAAATATTACAGAAAGATGCTTTTCAAAATAAATGCTTAAACTAATGCATAAGAAACTGAATGATAGAGATCAAAACAAACTTGATATAAAATGTAAAATTAAGGAAAAAAAAAATAGGCATTTAATCAGTCATACACAAGATTTGTTTAACTTGTTAAAAGGAATTTCACAACTACAAAAATGTATGGAATAATATACAATCATATATTTGGCTGTATAATGTATATGAAACTTCTTTTTAGGATTCAATGTAAGCTGGGCTAATCTTTGGAATATGGTAACAGGTAGTTTGGCGACATTTTGGTAAGGCGATAAAGGTTACTAGCTAGGACTTTAGCAATAACCTGAGAAGTACACAGTTCGAATCACAGATTATTTTGTCTCGGAGAAATGAGAGATCATGAGACATGTCATGTGACATTTTTCGGAAAATTCCGATCGGGATTTTAGCTAATAAGCACTTAGAAACAATTTCGCTGCTAAAGTGCAGAATCGCCCACTTATTTGTTTGGTGCTTTTTACAAGAGTAAGAAGAATTGGATTTTTGTCAATTTTCTTTGACTTTTTAAGTGAAAATAGGTCGATGTGTACATGAATAAAGTCAAGAGTGTGCGCAATGCCATTTTTGTGCAATTCTGGGATGATTTTTTAAGTGAAAATAGGTCGACGTGGACATGGATACCGTGTATATGCAATTCGTAAAAACGCGCCAAGCAGTGGACGATTCTACACTTCTCTCAATTTCGCACCTGATCTTTGTCATGATTAAGCACTTTTGCTCCATAAAAGTTCTAACATAAGCGTAATTTGGCTAGCAGATTGTTAGAAAAAATGTTGAGTTAAAAAAAAAAAAAAAAAAAAGCGAAAAGGCCATTACTTCGTGAAAACAAAATGTCATCTTAAAAAAAAAAAAAAAAAAGTAGCAGGTTGCTGCAGCAAGGTTGGTCGCCAAAGTTTTGCCAAAAAATCGCCAACTTAACCATAATCCGAAGATTCACCGTAAGCTGTTATCAAAGTCTGTATATAAAATAATAATAAATCAAAAGCATAATACAGAAGAGATAAACCAATATCAAAAATAAAATTATGAAAAAATTTATGTTTGATTGGTGAGTACGTTTGATAAGATTAAATTAAAAGAATATCTATTATCTTCTAATTCTTGTTACATAAATTTTTAAACAGAATTAGTTGCTTTCTGAAATCTTATTTTATTATAAGCTAGTATCACAGTGTTCTGTATTCTTATGATTCCTTAGTATGCATGTTTAGTATTTTCATATTAAATAAAAGATAGGCACTAGATTTTGTATAATAAAAAACAAATTATGGATATAATTTAGTATTTTGGTACAATTTTCATGCTGCTGGAAACACATTAGACAATGAAGACCATATATTATAACATGATGATTTTTTTTAAACTAAAATGTAAATTTTACAGTTTAAATATTGATGAAATATAACTAACTGCCAACTACATCTATACTATCTTCAAATTGTTATCCAATCAGTCCATCAATCCAAATACACTGCTGGTTAAATTTAAAATAATTTGCACACCTGACATTTAAATACTAATTTAATTAATATGACATATAATTTGATTTGTAGAAAAACAAACAAAAACTGGAACAGCTTTAGTATTGGTCCTTTTGGCGATTTTTTTATTTGGCGACAAACTTCGGTCGCCAAGGTAGACCCGATTTTGAAGATCGGAAAAAAATGGCGGATTGTCAACAAAACCCGATCTAGACTAAATAACAATCCTAAAAAATAAGCTCTTAATCAGAATAAACAATCTTTCTCTAATTTTCAATATTTCTAGTACTGCAATGATAAATTCTTGAAACACTACTGTAAATGAATTTATGACAATTATTATGTTATGAGTAATGAAATTTACAAAATGTTAATATTTTTAATTACAAAATATAATGTATTAAACATTAATATTTTAAGTAGTTAGTTCATATTTATATTTTATTATATTAGCACTTAGCTAATATTTTAAATTTACAAAAGGTTAATTTTTATGTTTATGAATAATGAAATTTACAAAAGGTTAATAAATGCATTTCAAACTAGTATATGTTACTTTAGTTTCTTAGATTCTGTTATTAAAAGAAAATAAAAAAATATTTCAAAGTGAAGAAAATCAAATTCAATTATAATGGGCAAGTTTTGTACCAGTGTTAGAAATATTTTTTATGATTAATATTGTAAATGGTAAAAATATTAAGAAGTGTGTATTTTTTAATCCCTCAATTTATTACAAGTAATTTATAATTATAATTTAAAAGCTAAAATTAAATTATCATAATGAGTAAATTTTGTACCAATGGTAATAATACAACAATCATCGTAAATGATGATTTCTGTGAAAATTCGAACAGTCATTGGAATCCACTAGTGGTGCAGTGATAGCCACTGAACAGTGGTAGTTCAGGCTGGGTATATGGGAGTTTTAGTAGTTTTCCGTAGATGTAATGTGAATCTGAGCCAGTTTCTCTTAAAAAGTACTTTATGAAGGCATCCTTCTTCTGCTAGCCAGCATATGTATTTATTTTCTATTCATAATTCTCTCTTATTTTCTTATTTCTTAATTCTAAATCTTACTTCTGAAGAGAAGAAGTGTTGCATCTATAGGTCGAAAATATGGTCAATATGGTCAATATGTTTGCAAAATCCTGTCAGTTTTGGAAAGCATTTAAATAAACTAAATAATTTGTATGTGATGCAAACAAAAATGCATTACACTATTTCATGTACTGAATAATTAATCAGGGAACAAAGTATATTGTAACGTTCCTTTATTTTGTAACCAGAGTTATTTTATGCTTGGGATCTTTACTGTCAATTTCCTCCATCCGTTTTCTCACCAGAATCCAAATGAAGTTTTTATTTTGTAAAACAAACCGTGTTTTGCCTTTTGAGGCCACATTAATAGGTTGCTAGATAAGAAAAAGACTTGTAGTCTTCAGCCTTGCATTATAATTGCTGATAGTTGAATTCCAGGCCAGTTAAGTTTTTAACCAACTTTGCATTAAATTGATTTGTGCAGCCTTTGGGCTACAAATTATTTGAATTTAAATTTTACATTTGAACTTAATTGTTATCATAAGTTATCTTGCCACAAGTGGTTGACAGAGTCGTAAGCACAAAGTGTGCCTTCTGTTCTGTACATCTAAACTTTCTAATAGAATAAAAGTATATCTTAACTTAATAAGAATATATCTAAACTTTATGATAATAACATTTAAAGACATTGAAATCAGTATCTAAGTGCTTGCCATGTAGTCAAATTTTTATATACAAATTGTACTCTTACTTTTATTATAGAGTTTTTATTACAAAAAATTCAGATTTCTATTAGATAAAATGTTTAAGTAATGTAGAAAATTTGCATAAAATTTAAAATAAAAAGTCGACTGTTGTGTCAACATACTATTAATAAAAGTAATAATACTCAGTGAAGGTTATTCATATACAGCTGTTAGGTTGTAAGATTTACAAAATTTGAGAACTCTAAATTATAAGCAATATATTCCATAATCTAAGCAACATTATATTTTTTATAGTCAGGCAAATTATGAAAATGTTATAAAAGCAATAATGAAACCTGATTTTGGTCAAGATTTGAACCTATGAATTCATGCAATTACACATCCCTTTAGTTCTAATATGAGGTAAATAAGTATTTTTAGACCATGGTAATTTTGATCTCCTTAGCAAAGGAAACACCAAGAGTTTATAATAATATGCAGAGTTGACATATGAAAAAAATGTCAAGACTCATGTGATGTAATATTAAAAGCACCAGTTTTAACTATCAAAATTCAGCTTTTTAAAAAATATTTTAAATGTTGTGCTTTCCTAACACAAAAGTAACTTTAAGAAAAACACACAATTTATCCCTCCTGCTATCAAAGCTCTGATACCTATCAAATTCGTTAAAGTTACGTGGACAGAAATGGCGGCATGTTTAAAGCTCAGTATTTAGGGTTACCAAGGTTATCATAATTTTTCATTTATCGCTCCAAAATGTCGCCAAACAAATTTCTCGCCAAAAAGGACTAATACTAAAGCTGTGCCCAAAAACATGCAGAATTTTTTCTTTAAAGAATGCAATGAACTTTATATAAACGCAAATAAGTATAATAAACCTTTCACAAACTGAAATATTTCATTTCCACCTAACTTTGACTCTCCATACAATCTATCAACAAATGTTATTGGAACTTCGCCAATAGTGAACCCTAACTTTCTAGCTCTTACAATCATCTCCATTTGAAACACATAGCCTCTGGAAACACAAGATTCCACAAGTTTTTGCAAAACATGTTTTTTGTACAACCTGAAACTTCCAGTCAAATCGGATGCACCGGGACGCAGAAGTACTTGAGTAAGATAATTAGCTCCACGGCTGATTAGTTTTCGCTTAAAATCCCAACCGTTTACTCCTCCATTCTTGATATAACGGGTACCAGAAACGAGATCATAATCCCTTTCTTGCTGCATTTTGATGAAATCAGGAATATATTTCGGATGATGTGAAAGATCTGCGTCCATTATGACGATAAAATCCCCAGTCGCATGTTTTATTCCATGTATATAAGCTGTACCTAAGCCCAGCTTCTTTTCTCTAGGTCGCAGAATTATTTTATCGGATCCGTAAATTTCCTGCAGGTTCTTAGCGGCATCCAAAGTTCCGTCAGGGCTACTGTCATCGATGATGATAATTTCATAATCATAGTCTTCGGCTGTCATATATTTCACAATCATCCATATTATTATTGGCAAATTTTCTCGTTCATTATAAGTTGGTAGTAAAATACTATACTTAGATTTCATAATGCCTTAACTTTCTAGCTCTTACAATCAGACAGAGACATACGTACAGCAAAACAAGGAATATGTAATTTAAGACGTTCTTTGAGCAATATAACACATATGTCTTGTTTTGCACCTCCTAAGTTCTCGCAGGGCGAAGAACATACTTATAAGAAATAGACTAACCCAAATAGGTTTTCTCCCTCGTCGGAGGCGCTGTCGGCTGTCACCTTGATCACATCGAGGTTTGCAGATATATGCGACGACAAACGCTGAGAGTTTACAGAAGTTAGCGGGTCTCACGTGACCGATGGCAACACTAAGAGGTTACCGTAATTTGCGCCAAAATTGAAAAATGAAGCCAAATGTAATTTTTGGAAGTAAGCAATACAGGTTTTCGCCATTTTTCTTGCACGTGCTGCTGTGGTAGTAAGGTACGTAGTATTAGCGCTGATATTTTGTGTTTTAATTATCTTATTTTAGTTATGTGTTTGTCTAAGCAATCTGAAAAGATGAAAATACTCATAATCGGGGATTCTATGATTAAATATTTACAAGAATATTTGTCTGCGAATTTACCTGATTACGAAGTTGATTTTTGCTTTCCAGGAGCTAGGATTGAAAGGTTGACACGTGAGATTGCCTTTATGAACAACCATTTTCATTTAGTTTTGTCCACGTTGGTACCAATAATTCAAATGACGATTTAGATGAAATTCATCGTAAATATGGTTGTCTATATAAGGGAATTGAACGATTAAACCCGAAGGTCATTCTGTTTTCAGGTGTTCTCCCACGATGCCCGGATTTATATCGAGATTGTAACACGTATCACCTACAAGAACTTAATAGGAAGATACTAAACATAAATTCAAGATTTCTCGCAACATACGAAGGTAAAGATGGGTTTTTCTTTTGCAGCTCTTTTGACTATTCTTGGAGTACTTGTTTATCCAGAGACGGTTTACACCTAAATCGGAGAGGTAATCAGCAGCTGGGGAAAATTTTTGTAAAAGATATCAGGATAAGTTTGACTGTTGCAGAGGTAAGTGCACCATTTTGTTCTACATCCCTTAGCAGTTTCCCAGCATTAACCAGTATTCCTTCTGTTCTGAGTACTCATTTGGGTAGTAATCTTGGTGCTTCTGTTTCCAAACCACTCTTTTCAGATGTTGTGAAACGTTCTTTAGTTTCCAGTGTTCGGGTTTGTAATTCTAGAGATTTTTTGTGCCATGTTTCTTCTTCTAAACCGCTTTATTCAGATGTTTTAAAGCATGATTGTTTTACTAGCTCTGTTTTGAATACTAATCCCAGTATTCCGAGTTTATCAGATTTTCCACTTCTTGAATATTCACTTGGCACTAGTGTAAATTTTTTGGATCCACCTCCTAAGCCACTTTACTCATATGTTTTAAAACATGGATTTTTTCTACTGGATTATCATCTCAACCTGGCAGGCTCTTCGGATTCCAATTCATCATCATCTCATCTTGGTATCAGTTTCAATTCTTGTACTTCCATGTCGAATTTTCCAGTTTTTAAGGGTTCATTTGTTTGCTCTGATTCAGATTTGCAGAAGGCTACTATATCTGTATCTAAATTTTCTTTTATGTCGTTAGTCACTTCTCAGCCTACTGGCTTTTGAGGCTCTGTTTCATCTACTCAGCTTGTCACCAATTCCAATACTTGCCCATCAGTTGTTGGTTCTTGTGCAAATTTTAATTCTTACCATCCATATTTTCATTTTAACAAGTTTTCTATTCTTAAAAATTATTCAGAATGTTCTAACATTAAGTTTGGGGGTGCAAATGATTCTAATCAGGGTGAAAGTAATGTACAGAAATCTGAAAATGGGTATGTTGAAGAAAACTGCAAAGTTATTACCTCTGTTAACCCAAATATAAAGACTATAATTTGTCCATGTTGTAAGAAAGATTTCTCTTGTAAAGAAACTTTATCAAGACACAAACGTAACTGTAAAATTTTAAATAAGGATAATTTATGTACTACCATAAAGAATGATGAAATAGAAAATAAATATCCAAGAACGTGCGAGGTATGCATGAAGTCATATGCTTCAAGACAGTCATTTTTTAATCATAAAAAAAGGTGTAAATCTGTGTCTTCTGAAATTGATTCAAAATCATATATTTGTGACAACTGTGAAATAGACTGTAAAACCCGCAGTAACCTTTTTCATCATAAGAAGTTTTGCTGTTCTAAAAATAATTTAAATATTCGTAAACCGTGTGTTTTTCCTGATTGCAAGGCATCCTTCCAGTTTATTAGTGATCATAATAAACATTTGGCTGAATTTCACAATTCTGAGATGGATGTGAAGGAGCTTACATTTTCATCAATGGTGGAGTTTCAGCTGTGGTTAGAATGTCATTCTAAGGAAACATTCAGTTCTTTTAAGAAGTGTTCTGGGAGTAAACATAAAGTTAATAAAGCATACCATTATTATTGTTGTCACTTCACTGTAACACAAAAAAAAAAAAACCAGTGCCAATTTCAAGTAGAAAAAATCTTAAAGGTTCTTTACCATTAGGCTTCAGATGTCCATCCAGAATTTTAGTTTCTGAGGAACAAGATCTTGCGACAGCTATTTTTTATTCAGGTCACAATCATGAGCTGTCGTTTGAAAATACCAAATTTCAACAGCTTAGTCAGAATTGTCGTGATCAAATCAAAACTTATGCTCAGTTAGGTGTTTCCACCGATCAAATTCAAGAATTTATCTGAGATGGAAGTGGATCACGTGATAATAGAGAGAGCTTAAGTATTAAAGATAATTTTGTAACATGTAGGACTATAAATTACTATGTAAAGCGTGTAATGATTTCTTCTCTTAGTGATGATTCACTTTCTGTTGCTGCCATAGTTGAGAAACTTAGGCAGGAATCGTATGACCCTATTCTTATTTACAAACCTCAAGGAAAACCAACATTGTATGGTCCGAAAGGCCTTGACACACTGTCTTTTGCACTAGGATTGCAGACAAAGGAGCAAAAAGAAATGATGATTAAAGGTTGTAGCAGGATTTTATGTATAGATTCTACTCACAAAACAAATCAGTATGATTTTTATTTGCTAAATTTAATTGTCCCAGATGAATTTGGTAGTGGTTACCCCGTAGCACATTTTATTTCAAATCAGTTGGATCAGGATACGATGTACAATTTATTTCTTAGTATCAAATGTGTAATACCTGAGCTTAATATTAATTGTTTAATGACAGATGATGATAAAACTACACATCCTGCATTTGAAAAACCATTTGGTCCAGGTATTAAACATATACTATGTAAATGGCATGTACATCGTGCATGGCAACGTAGTTTATTTCGAATGGTTTCAAGTCAAAAACTTAGGGATGAAATTTATTTTAATTTAGTTATATTGCTTGAAGAAACTAATTCTTTATTTATTTCTATGATGGATAATTTCCTTCAAAAGTTTCGAGCTGTTGCACCATCGTTTGTAAATTATTTTGAGGAGTATTATTATTGCCGAGCAAGTCTGTGGTCAATGGCATACAGAAACTTCCCTCATGCATTCACAGATACTAACATGTATTGCGAGTCATTTCACAATAAATTGAAAACTATGTACTTAAAACGTAAATTTAACAGACGCCTCGATAATTTAATTAATGTGCTTTTAAAAATTGAAGAAGATATTTACATGGCTTATAAGTATAAAGTTGAAATTAACTGTAAAGAGAGCATCTACCCAGCCAACTTATAATAAATGACATGAATCTGGAATGAAAATACCTGATAGTGATGTAACAGAAACACATCCTTGTTTGTGGTCTATAAAATCACAGACACGTAAAAATATTCAATATACAGTTAAGCGGTTGCATGAACTATGTTCAGAAACAGATCATTGTTATTCAAAGTGTATTAACCTCTCCTGTCTAAATCTGTGTCATCATTTATATAATTGTAATTGTCCAGACTTCAGCACACTATGTAAACACGTACATAAAATACACTCAATTACATGCAGGCAACCAAGTCCTTCTGTAATTGCAACAGATATCCTTAAAGCAGAAAACTCCTCCCCTCTAGAATTGATTAAAAAATCTAATGCTATTTCAGATACTGTTGTGTGTAACACTGAACCTAAAATTAACACTTGTAAGACTTTAATGTCTGAATTATTAGTTATGTTGCCGCATCCGACAATCCAAAAGATATTAATACCTAGTATAACAAAGAATTTAAAAGATATAGTTTCTAATTGTAAAGGTGCAATAAAATCAAACCATTTGAAAGATTTTTCTGATAAAATGCCATTTACTCAGGTTGCTCCAA